TCATTGCTCCCCTCAGGCATCCAATTTCCAGACTGGAGGCTTAAGCTGCAGCAGCCTGAAAACCAACCCATTTCTCTACCACATCAAAAAATATCTCTGTTCCCTGCATATAGTTATTAGGCAATTTTTCCGTAAACACTTCAGATTGCTTTAAAGCTTCATGATGGTGAGATGAATAATAGGATTTTTGGAAAGAAAGAAAAGGCAACTCCACTAAGTAACTCCAATATTGTATTGCCAGCCTGCCCTGAACCCAAGCACCTCAAAACCCACCCAGCAAAAGGACCTTTCTGGCTAATACAGCTCTGAGGCTCTCAAGACACATCTTCGTGAAAGCCCAGTCCTCAATTCCTCACCCAGAAAACTTAGAATCACAGAATGGTTTGGGTTGGAAGGGACCTCCCAGCCCCACTGCCATGTGCAGGGACACCTTCCACTACACCAGGTTGCTCAAAGCCTCATCCAACCTGGCCTTGAGCACTTCCAGGGATGGGGCAGACACAACTTCTCTGGGCAACCTGTGCCAGTGCCTCACCATTCTCATTATAAAAAATTTTTTCCTTGTCCTATCACTACATGCCCTTGTCCAAAGCCCCTCTCCAGCTTCCTTGTAGCCCCTTTAGGTACTGGAAGGCTGCTGGAAGGTCTCCCCAGAGCCTTCTCTTCTCCAGGCTGAACAGTCCCAACTCTCTCAGCCTTTCTCCATAGCAGAGGTGCTCCAGCCCTCGCATCATCTTCGTGGCCTCCTGTGAACCCGCTCCAGCAGCTCCATGTCCTTCTGATGTTGGGGACCCCAGAGCTGAACGCAGCACTGCAGGGGGGCTCTCCTGACCTGCTCCCTCGACCTGCTGCCCACGCTGCTTTGGATGCAGCCCAGGACACAGTTGGCTTTCCGGGCTGCCAGCGCACATTGCCGGCTCATGTTGAGCTTCTCATTGACCAGCACCCCCAAGTTCTTCTCCTCAGGGCTGCCCTCAATCCCGTCTCCGCCCAGTCTGAATCAATTCCCTGTCTAAATCAATGGAAGATTAATTTTCAAAACCCACTGCAGGATCTGTCTGGGCACATCACCTTTTTCATTAGTTTTTCCTCTCTTTCTTTCTCAAATTATTATGGAATCAAAGAAGTATAAAGAAAAAATGAAAAATCTGTTATATCTTGCCTTCTGCATCTGGTGATGTAATATGGTCTGTGGTTAGAAAATAAATTCATTACAAGAGTCTGAGCTTTTTCTCCTTTTCTTTTTTTTTGCTAAAGATCCTTAAATAACTTATTGTCCCCAAACAGCAATTTTAACTTCCCACAGAGAAGCCACTGAAAGCTAAAAGACTTGTTAAGATTTCAAAGCCTCACATTCTGTAGTTGGCCAATGTTAGAGGCTTTTTGTGTAACCGAGTAGGTGCATTTGGGATACACATTAATGGGTTGGTTTTTGTTTTGTTTTGTTTTTCTGCAAGGCCCCTGCCCTTCTCAATGCACAGAAACGCAACGTTACAAAGCTAAGAGAAACAGCTCCACTGCCAAAAAAACAGGTTCAGGCAACCATGTCCTGTTTTTCAGGGACAACCTTCTACATTAGTCACAAAAACATCAGTTGTCACTGCAGCATACTCCCAACCCTGGCTTCATGTTCCATCACAGACACAGCTTTCTGGGCGCTGGAGCAGCTGTGTTCACAAAGCACCTCTGCGAGCTGGTGTGTTGGCAGCTCGTAGCCCAAGGAGACAGTTGTGCCTCCAGACCCTCTTAGGCTTCCTTCTGTGCCAAAAACGTGGCTCACAGCACACCTGGCAAAAGTCATATTCCCAGCTGCACATCCCATAAAACTGCCTGAATTGCAGCTGATGTTTGAGCACAATGCGTAAACAGGGCTGCAAAGACAGGTACCATCGGCATAAAGATGAGCGTAGCCAAATATTCCAACTTTGTAGCCCATGTGCCAGCCTGCCATCCCTTCCTCACTGCCCCTTTGCTAGCACAGTCACACAACCACCATCCGCTCTGCTCCTTAGCTCCCCAGACACACTCAAAATCGTGCTGAGAGGAGAGAGGCAACCCCAGGTCCAACCTCATCGGCATGTGTTCAGGGGATGAATTCTTTGGTGAAGTCAGGACTGTGCAGTGTCACTTTAGAGCACGTGTTTTACTGGGGTTCCTCAAAGGCACGCTGTACGTGATGAGACTTAGTGGTACTTAGTGCCCAGAGAAGTTGTGGCTGCCCCATCCCTGGAAGTGTTCAAGGTCAGGTTGGATGAGGCTTTGAGCAACCTGGTGTAGTGGAAGGTGTCCCTGCCCATGGCAGGGGGGTTGGAACTAGATGGTCTTGAAGGTCCCTTCCAACCCAAATCATTCTGTGATTCTATGACTTACTTATTAGGTGGCCTTCAATTTCATGAGATGCATCAGAGGAAAATCTAGAAGCTTCTTACCTGTAACATGCAGCTAGCCTGAAAATTGGACTGTAAGTTCTTTATAGGCCTTCTAAGAAGAGGCTTGGTTTACCAACTGCAGTTTAGCTTGTCCACTCCCCAAAGAAAAACCTGCGCTTCTTGTCTTAGAATCATAGAATCTAAGTTGGAAGGGTTGGAAGGGACCCTAAAGATCATCCAGTTCCAAACCCCCTGCCATGGGCAGGGACACCTTCCACTACACCAGGTTGCTCAAAGCCTTATCCAACCTGGCCTTGAACACTGCCAGGGATGGGGCAGCCACAACTCCTCTGGGCAACCTGTGCCAGTGCCTCACCACCCTCATTGTAAAAAGTTTCTTCCTTAGATCTAATCAAAATCTCCCTTCTTTCAGTTTAAAGCCATTGCCCCTTGTCCTACCACTACATGTCCTTGTAAAAAGCCTCTTGTAAGAAGTCCCTTCACTCTGAACTCCCCATCCCTGGCAGGATTAACAGCTAATCTGGCTTCTTCAAGAGCCTAGAGTATCTCTGATGAGAGTTAATCTATGACACAATACTGAGCTGGCTGCAGCAGCTTGCTCAGTACGTATTAAAAAGCAGGTGGTGTACTGTGCACCCCAGCAATTGTTGAGCTGTTTAGCCAGGGCTCCACTTTTCTTCTGCAATAGTCGTTATCTTTGGACTGGCTGCCCAAAATAACATTCCAGAGATTGCTCCAGCTTGTTTTCATATATCCTGGGATGAAATTCATCAAGCTCAGCTGATCTGAAAACATTCAACCAGCAAGAGATGTGAGATGAGGTTAACAAGCAATCAAGCTTTAAATATATATGAGGAAAATGCTGGTTCACCACCCAGAGAGGAAAAGCTTTGGACACAACACTAAAAAAAATCTCTAATATCTTTCTCCTAGGAAAAATAAAAAAGCAATATAGGAGCAGGTGGCAGGCATAATAAATACCAGTGCGAAGGAGATTTGGGGGAAAGACTGGGCAAAGATCAAGTTTTATGAGTATTTACAGTGTTTTCAAGCTGGTTGTGTTTGATTAACTTCACACCAAGTTGGTCAGAGATCTCCAGCTGTTTCGAAGCAATGATCTTGCACAGTTTGTAGAGAGCAGGGGAGCCTGGCAGAGTGCAAATGGCAAAAAAAGAGCAGAACTGCCTGGGTTACTACAGCCAGAGGGTACCCAGGAATGGTTCTATGTTTGAATGAAAGGATATATTGAGTGGGGATCCAAGAAATTTGTGCTTTTTGAGATGTATAAAGAAGACATACATTAATTTCACAGGGCAGGAAAGACAAATGGCGTTGTC